AATTTTTATTTCACTGATTACTGGTAAAGCTGAGTACTTTTTAAATTTTTTTAAAGTTTGTTTTATGTGTTTCTTTCACAAGAGACAGATAGGCATCCGTAACAGGGTCCTCACACTGCAGTCCACCCTGAATCTTAGCTGGCCTAGAGCACGGTTGTACCCTCACACCCTACACTCTGTGATGGTCCTGAGATGTGAACCCAGGACCTTTCCCACACATGGGTCTCTTTGCAGTACCAGTGTGCCACCACCTGGCACTTACCTTTTCTTTAAAATATTATCTTTTTGGACCAGCAGATGTGTAGTGGTTATATTGCTGGACTTCCATATAGCTGTGGTTTGAGTCTTGGACCTGGCGGCTTCAAACTCACCCAGGTGCATGTGCATGCATGTCCAAAATCTCAAGGAGACTGGAGAAGAAGGGATTGTGGCATGGCCATCTCCCCTTAGGCGTGGATTTCTCACGTTTTGTCTCTGTTTGTCTCTGTCACTCTGGCAAGTGTATCACCCTATAGCAAAAAACTCTCTAAAAAAAATGCTATTTTTCACTTATCAGAAATGATAGTATAAAATATAACATTTAATATTAACCAAAGCTAGGAGAGTCTTCAAGATATTCATATACTGCTAGTAGAGTATGAATTGGTACAGCCTCTTTACAAATCAGTTTAGTGAACAAATTAAAAATCTTAAAGTGGTTTACAATTCAGACCAAGTACTTTTATTTAAAATAAATCATCCTGAACATTGTAATTGCAGTTCTTGTGTTGTGCATAGATTGTCAATTTGCAGCATTATTTACAATGAATTGTACAGTTAAAAAATTGAAATCCATCTACATATCTTCAAGTAGAAGAATCGAGTAATTTTTAGTGCATCCATATTATAAACTTCATACATCTATTACTAGTGATTTTTTTACTAAGAATTTTTAACAACATGAGGAAATGCTTATGATATCATCTTCTCTTTTTTTTTTTTTTTTAGAGGTTTTTGCTATAGGGTGCATGTGCTCACCAGACAGACAGAGAGAAATCACCCCCCAGGGGGGATGGCCACGCCACAATCCCTTCTCCTCCATTCTCCTCTCGGGATCTTGGGCATGCACGCACACGCGCCCAGCATGAATTTAAGCCATTGGGTCCAGGACTCGAACAGCGGTCGACTACATGGGAGTCCAGTGACATAGCCATTACACTAACTGCTGGTCTCATGATATTATCTTAAAGTGAAAAGAGTAGGATAAAATTTTTTATATGACACTTTTTTTTTTAAGAGAGGTTTTTTTTCTATAGGGCACATGTGCTCTCAGAGACACAGAGTGAGAAATCACTCCCCTGGGTGGGAATGGCCCATGCTGCAATCCCTTCTCCATTCTCCTCTTGGGATTTTGGGCATGCACACACATGCCTGGCATTATTTTCAAGCCACCGTGTCCGGGGCTTGAACCACAGTAGGTCATGTGAAAGCCCAGTACCTTAATCACCGTGCCACCTGTTGGCCTCAATATAGCACAATCTTAATTGTGTAGAGAAAAAGACTGAAATAAAATAGGCCACAATGTTAATGGTGGTTATCTCTGTGTGGTGAGATTGAAGATCCCTCTCCCTACTATGTAAAAATTTATTGAGATAAAATTAACCATTTTATTAGTAATAATTACTTTCTTTTTAAAAAAGAATCATTTATTGGGACTATCAGATGGTGTAATAGTTATGTTACTGGACTCTGATATAATCAACCATGATTCGAGTCCTAGACCTGGCAGCTTAAAATTCATGCTGGGCACGTGTACGTGCATGCCCAAAATCCCAAGAGGAGAATGGAGTAGAAGGGATTGTGGTGTGGCCATCCCCTTTGGGGGTGATTTCTCACTTTCTGTCTCTGTCTCCCTGGTGAGCACACATGCCCTATAGCAAAAATCTGTCTTGAAAAAGAAGAATCATTTGTTTAATTTTATTCATCATTACCATTCTCTTAATTTGACCAGAGAGAGACAGGGAAAGAAAAAAGCAAGCCACCAGATCTAGGACTTGAACTGTGATTGGCCACATTTTCTTAACTCACCATGCCCCTTGCCAGCCCCTTTAATACCTTCAGTGGTTTTTATTATATTCACAATGTTGTATAACCACCATTATTAATTCTGTCACCCAACTCTTATCTAACATATCCATCACCTCAGAAAATAAACAAATTAGCCCAGCCACAGGGGCAAACAGAAATAGCACTACCACTTGGGAGGCTGGACGTTCAGTTCTCAGGCCTACCTGAACGTACTGGGCATAGGTGTGCATGACTATAGTCCCAGCTGATTAGGAGGCTAGGGAAGGAGAATGAAGGCACAGTGAGACCCTGTCAAAAATGCTTTTATTGGCGGGAGCCAGAAGTGGTGTGGTGGTTAAGGTGCTGGAGTCCCACATTGCCAACTCCATTTCAGGTCCTGGACCTGGTGGCTTGATAAATCATGCTGGATGTGTGTATATGCATGTCCAAAATCCCAAAAGGAGAATGGAGCAGGGATTGTGGCGTGGCCATATCCCCTTGGGAGTGATTTCTCATGTTCCCTCTCTGTCTTTGTTGGACATGCACATATGCTCTCTTGCAAAAACTTAAAAAGAAAAAAAAAAGGATTGACTATTTTGGGACCATTCAGTGGTGCAGCAGTAAAATGGGATGCTCTCTGAGGCAATTACACATGGCAAGGTTCCTTATTTGAGTCTGGAGGTTTCCCTGAGTATGACAGGCATGCATTTGCCTATGAAATAAATGGAGCTGACTGAAGGCTTGAGGTAGACTGTAGCATTGAGACCTTGTTAAGGGTGCTGTTTCTCTCTCTCTCTTGCTTGGTGATAAATAAGTAAAACTTATCTTTGAAAAAATGTCTTTCTTGGGACCAGCAGATGATGGACTCCAATGTAGTCAACTGCGGTTCAAATCCAGGACCCGACGTCTTAAAACTCATGTCAGGCGTGGGTGCATGACATGAGTTTTGCAAGATCCTGAGAACAGAATGGAGGAGAAGGGATTGTGGTGTGGCTACCCCCGGGGGGAGGTGATTTCTTGCTTTCTGTCTCTTTCTGTCTCCCAGCGAGCACTTGCACCCTATAGCAAAAATGCTTTCACCCTTTAGCAAAAAACTTTCTCTCTTAAAAAAAAAAAAAAAAAAAAAAAAAGGCCTATCTTGGCCAAGCTGGTGGCATGGTGGTTAGTGTAGCTGGATCCCATATGACTGACAGCATAGTTTGAGTCCTGAGCCTGACAGCTTTTGGCAACTTGGGAGACTCCCCAGGCATGTGTATATTTGCCCAAGTGCTGAGAGGAGAATGGAGGAAAAGGGATTGTGGCATGGTTATCCTCCTTGGTGGGGATGTGGAGGTGCTTTTTACTTTTCCTTTCTCTCTTTTTCTTTTTTTTTCTTTTTTTTCTTTTTTTGAGATGTTTTTGCTATAGGGCGCGTGTGCTCATCAGACAGAGACATAGAGACAGAAAGCAAGAAATCACTCCCCAGGGGGGATGGCCATGCCGCAATCCCTTCTCCTCCATTCTTCTCTCAGGATCTTGGACACGCACACATGGGCGCCCATCGTGAGTTTAAGCCACCGGGTCCGGGACTCGAACCGCAATCAGCTACATGGGAGTCCAGCGACATAGCCATTACACTAACTGCTGGTCCCTCTCTTTGTCTTTTTCTAATGAGCACATGCAACCTATAGCAATATTTTTTAATGCCTTTCTCTGTCCCCCTTTTCCTCTCCCTACTCCTCATAGTAGAGAAAACAAAGGGACTAAATTCTAAATTTTCTTCTCCCAACCCTCGACAACCACTAATCTACTTCTGTGTCTATGGACCGGCCTGTCTAGATTTTTCATGTAAAATGAAATCACAGTATGTGACCTCTTCTCTACCTTTGTTCATTTTAGCTTATATTTTTGTAGTATGTATCAGTACGTCATTCCTATTCCAGGTCTGAATAATTCCATTGTATAGCTATGCCACATCGTGTTTACCCATTCATCAGTCGATGGACATTTAGGATATTTCTACTTTTTGGCTAAGCTATGAATATTTATGTATGAGTTTTTGTGTGAACATAAGTCTTTACTTCTCTCGGATAGATACCTAGAAATGGAATTGCTGGGCCATAACCCAGGAACTTCCCATGTTTTCCACAGCAGCTGCACCATTTTACATTCACATCAGTCTTCCTCTTTTTAAAATCAGTTTCTTATCTTTCAAATTTTCTGCAAGGAGTATATATTATTTTCTATTCAGTTAAGAACAGGTTGGGCATACATACATGGTACTGTGCAATGTATATACTTGCTCGTTTCTGGCAGCTGACCGGTAATCTCTGTAGGTATTTAGCACGCTTGACCTACTGGTCTCCCTGGTGGAAGGTGCCTGTTTAACTGTCAGTTCATTACCATGGAGAATGCTGCAATCGGCGTTCTCCTTACATGCCTTTCATTGGCTTTGTACATAATTTTTTCTCTTGTTTGTTCCTAGATCTGAAGTAGAATTTTCATCAAGTTAGCTTGTTTTTCAGAAAAATTGCTTTATTCTACATTCTTACCAGCAGTACATGAAGGATGTTTCTTTCCCT